GCAATAATATCAAAATATTAAAAAAATCAAGCAAAAAAAAACTGTTTATAAACATTTTCCAAAAACTTCAAATAGCTTATAAGAAATATATTAACTTATTTTTAGTAGGCCCTATATCATCAAAATTATGGTATTCATTAAATATTATTATTAAACGGTAAAATGTGTTCATTTTTTTTTAAGTTATCGAGAAATAAAAGCTGTTTTTTGTCATTAGTTTTCTTTTAGTGTGATTAGCCTACTAGTTATGTGCTAAAGTTATATTTCATTCTATCGCTGCATTCTATAAATAACAAAATACAACCAAACGTGTTTTTGTCATTGAGTAGGCCTATTATGTTAAGTTTATAGTGAGCATGGCATTCTATTTTAAGAGATGCCATTGACTTCAATTCCAATTACTCTGCTAGCAATTTCAGTAATCTCGTTTTTCTTTTAATAGTTTTCTTTGTTGAGCCATTTAGGTGTAATTTGCTACGAAAATAAATTACGCATTATGTCACAATCTGGTAGAACAACGATAAAAAATCTTTTACAACGATAACATCCTTGATTTCTCTATTAACAAAATAACTTTTTTGGCTTGTTTTTACTTTTAGTTTGAATCTTCTATTTGTTTTTTTGTGTTCTGTCAAATACGTTTTTCTTAATATTACCAGGGTCTGAAGTTTTATTCTTTATAAATTACCTATTATGATTCTTCGTCAATTAGCATAATTATCTGTGTTAAAATTTTAAAATATCAACATTAATGTGGCACAGGTCGAAACAATCACGTTCTTGTAATAATAAATTTATTTATTTATTTATTTGTTCTTTATACTAGATACCTCTAGAGTAACATGTTAACTGTCCTCTCAGAGGGCCAAAAAATATTTAGGCTTACATATAAAATTGAAAAATTAAAATTAATAACTTTTAATTTAAAGAAATCCTTAAGTTGACTACCAGCCAATTGACGGGATTAAAGACGAGTTGACGTATGAACAGTGGTGTGGATCCAGAAATTTCCGACTGGGGTCGAACAAGTCCGACAGGGGTTCTTAACCAAATGGCCGACTAGAGCCTTGGTCATGGTCCCGGAATAAAAATCCTTGTTAGGGTTCATCAGAGTTTTTATATTACTTAATATAGCCCGAAATTGTGCTTTTAGAAGACAATATTAGGGATTGACATTCAACATACGTTATTTGGATATACTGTAATTCATATAATTAGTATTTTCGGTGCGACGACCTCTGTTGACTAGTTTTCAATTGAAATACTAATAACTAATTTAAACATAAAATATTGAATTTCAACTTTTAATAGCTCAACACAAACCATATTTTAAAGCTAAATATGCAAGTTACATAGCCGTACTTCAAAATGCACCGTGTGAGGTATTCGCATCAATCATATTCGATTCCTGTTTACGGAGACATCGTAATGACGTCACATTTACTCGAGGGTTGAGTATATCCACAGAAAATCACCACATTCAAGTTGCTGTCCAACCCCGTCGTCTTTGTGGAATTAGCCAAAAAAAGTATTTTCTATTAGTTACTGCTACCATTCGTTTTCGGAATTAACTAAAACCTGTTCTGTGCGCTATAAAATTGCTGTTAGAGTAAACGTATACGCGCCAATAACAACAAATTGCTGTCCGGCAATGACGGAATGAGAAGAGCGATTGAACATTTACAGGTCGTTTTGGAGATTCTCAGAATTACTTTGATCAGATCTTTTAGAATTGACACGTCAGAGATAAAGTTAAAACAACCGAAGACAACGTGGCTCTCCCGGGAAGGTAATGCTAATGAGGAAGCGTTATAAAAGACAGCACAACCGTCAGAATCGTGGTAACGATAATGGATCATCATGCTGCACAAAATGCTAGCCTCTAAAATAATAAAAATATGTATATTGGCGTAGGTGTTGTGTATGACGTTAAAGCGATGGCAAACATGATTTTAATATTTTATACATATAATTATTTACAATTTCTTAAAAACTCGGCAACAACCTTTTTTTTCATTTTCATTGATTGTGCTAGGTTACTTTATGTAGAACGAACATTTGTAGGCCTACAGAACTATTATTCACTTACTCAATTTGATTAGTCATCTTATGTAGAACGAAATACTCCTTGTAATAAATTTAAAAACTAAAAATTGCAAATTGCAAGTGAAGTGCTGCGAAGTACAACTGCATATAAATGTTCTTCGAACAAAATTATTTATACGAGTCAAGTGAAAATAATGAATAATAAAAATATAACAAATAATATGAGACACGACCCATTGTCTATATTAGAACACTTCACATTGGGTAACAAAGTCGTAATTTTTCATTTTTGTCAAAAAGTGTCTATAGTGGTTGATTATAGTTTAGGTTTCTTTAAAATAAAGTTTTAAAAATTTCTATGTATGTGGAAAATGTAGTTGATTACGAAAGGTTACAATTTTTATTTTGAAGACTGCATGGTCTAGGAAGTGTACATATTTTTATGGGGCAAGTTTCTAAGGGCGGGTTTTCTATGGGCGAGTTGACTGCCAAAGAGTGTTGCCAAGGTGCGAGCCAGCGTGTTATTTGATCACAAGTGCGAGAGACATCCTAACTTAAGTGTGAGCCAGCGAGCCATGACGTCACGACAATAGATACGAGACGTTACTCGAGTTGTGCGAGGTATCGGCTGAGATTTGTGGAGTACAATTCAAAAACAACTATAGGTCTAATAATGAATTATTGTGATGTTAAATAGACAATGTTAGCTATCAATGAGCGACGTTGTTTTTCATTGGGACCTTTGTCCCTTCAAGGCTAGGCCTATACCATCCTAGCTAGTCTAGGCCTAGAGTAGGATAAGGCTAGCGCGACATGCGGACGTTGGTACGTGTTGGTTACGGTAGTCTACAGACGTCGCCTAAAGTAATTGATTTTACCCGGCAGAACGAAAGAAGTAAACTCCGCTTTTCAGTCGTCTTAGGCCCTTGTTTTTTGACAAACAATGACCTTTCAGAGGTCAAATTGCTGTCAAGAATATGAATTGGCTGCTTCGCAGCAAATACATTTTTGGAATTAGATATTCAACTCAGGAATAAAAACCTTTTCCACGGAGAAGCATCAACATATAGGCTCTCATATACAAATATTATTATGAAAATACATGTAATAAAAAGTACGATATGAATAAGTTGAAAATGAATCTTGATAAAAACAGTACCCAAATACGAACATAAAATGTTATAATCGTATCAATCACAGCCCTTCAAAGATCAGTCACTTTTTCAATTGCATGGAAAAATGTTGGACTTCAACCTGTAGCCTCTCAACATTATAGCGAGCGTCATTCGACTAGGCCACAGAGACCTATATGCTATCATGCTCACTGAGTAAGCATGCAAGAGAGGAGGCCTATGTGGTATAGATCTGCGCATGTATCATTTTTGTAGTATTAATAATATATTTATGTCGCGCGCTGCCCAGTCATCACTCTCGGGACACAAAAACACTGCAGAACGGTTCGACAACAGGAGGAAAAAAGAAAACGAAAAACCCCAACAAGTTAATGGCAATCATAACCCTGCAAAACAACAACAATTATCAGTCACAGTATTAACATACTAAATCTGAATCAATTAAATACGTACAGTAATTCAATAGGACTAACCATCATTAAACGTATTTAACGTTATACAGATAGCAAATAGACACAATAATCATTAGCAAGTAATGCATGTATTATTATAGAATTGACATTATGGTAAGCATATTTTCTTTTTAAATCAACACATTATCAAAGATGTAATAGTAATATGAATCAATTATCAATCTTAATACATACCGCAATTCAATAAATAATCGGCCATCTTGACTTTCAGGTTAACGATAGGCCTAACGATGCAAACGACACGGTACTCAATCTTCCAATCATGGTCCTCACAGTGACAGAAGATTGTACTTCATAATGCTACAGAATTAAACAACGAAGTACCAACTAAATATGGGTTCTATATTTAGTTGGTACTTCGTTGTTTAATTCTGTAGCATTATGAAGTACCAACTAAATATGGGTTCTATACTGTATTTTCCAATAAATATAAAATATTCAATATAGTACCGGTAGTAATTAATTAACACAGGTAATTGCCACTAATAAAGCAGTACCACAACCATGAACAATGCAATAGTCTACATTATCACAACTTCATCGGCTATAACAAATATAATTATTAACATCAACATATAAATTTTTGGATTATTTAATTATTGGTAACTACTATACCAATACCAATGACTAATCGCACCAACGTACTATTGTCAACTGATGGATTCTATAGCATTCAAACCTGCCGCGCACAACCCCGAACTAATTACCATACCGGTGTAGCGCACACAGGATGAATATTTTACATCCATGCGTTCATTTAAAAGTTCGAATCCCACATTTATCATACCCATTTATACTCTTCTTTGATGGCGGCACTACGGATAAAAATAACTTAAAAGCCACTTACATAAACCATGTGACCAGCCTCGTACTGGAGCTCCTAATCTTTATAATATACCGGTACCGTAAAACCTCGAATTGAAGCACAATGGTTTTAACTTTGAGAAGAAGCCCATCTCACCTTCTTTAGTCTGCAAACGTAGCCTCAAAAAGAAGGCTATGGGCTTCTTTTCAAGATGGGCTTTTTTCGAGTTAGTACAGTATAAATTGTACATTTAATTTCAGAGAAACAAAATAAATTAAAAGCACGCTTGTTTTATAGAGTAGTTTATAGCGATTTAATGCCGGTTACACTCCATGATACAGATTGATAATTAAAATCACATAATCGTAAGTTTGTCATTTTCGCCTTTACTTCGCGTATATAGAACTAAGTATGTATTAGAAGTATCATTATGCAATTTCAACAATGCAATAATATTTTAAATTACAGAAATATCAATTTGTCATTAAGAAAACATTTTTTGCTTTCTTGTCAAATGCTACCCAACTAAATAATGATTATCTGATGAGACCAAGAACAGAAAACGAATGTAACATCTGGAAAAACTCTAATCAATTAATGAAAATATATTTGAAATGTTAGAACACATTGAAATTATGTTTTTATTAACTTATACAACTTTTACAACAAATAGTAGGTCAAACTAATAGACCTTACTAATAGAAGAACTAATTTGTTAGTGTTGTTATATTTTTTTAATTTAGCCGATTCCATTTCGGCCGCCAGGACGGGGATGATTAATAGGGCGCACTGCAACCCTATCTTAATAATTTAAAAAAGTATATAGAGTATATTCATTAAAAGATAATAGGCCTAACTGACTTAAGTATAAAGTAAGCGATTCTAATATTGCACTTTATTGTTAGCATTTATATTGATATCAATGTATTAATAGAGAATCGTATAATGACAATGTTTTACGGTACTTTCAGAAATGTTTATCCTTTTTATAAAACTCTGTTGACTCACTTTATACCACACAACTAAAAAAAATAATATTATATGAGAGGATGTAACAGATTAATCTTTCGATGGGATTTAATAATAAAAAGAATCCCATTACAGTATTTGACATTACTAAAATAAATTTAAACTAAAGGAAATCGGCAGATGAAGGTTAATAAAGATGCAGTGACAAACCGAGTGTGCGGGGGTGACGGTCAGAATATTTAGGTTAAGTATAATTATGTGGAAGACGCTGTATGTGTATGTAAGTTGAGTGGGTATATACCTTTAACAGTTATATGTCAAAATGCATTTGTATCAGAGCATTGTGGTTGACGGGTATTCTTCTTTTTATTAAAAGGTAAAATAAATCATTGTTATCGTCTCATCTCATCTCATGCATTCGTTCGTTCGTCCGACCTTCACGGTCCATCCATTCATCCATTACCCATCCTTCCGTCCGTCCGTCCATCCATCCATCAACCCATTTGACATTGTATGTCAAAATGCATTTGCATCAGAGCATTGTGGTTGACGGGTATTCTTATTTTTTATTAAAAGGTAAAATAAATCATTGTTATCGTCTCATCTCATGCATTCGTTCGTTCGTCCGACCTTCACGGTCCATCCATCCATTACCCATCCTTCCGTCCGTCCATCCATCCATCCATCAACCCATCCGGCGGTCCACCCTTCCATCCATCCATCCGTATACACATCCGTCAACCCCGTTTCCAACCTCGAGGTCGGGCTTTCAATCCCTCTCTGTGCATTTAGCTTGTGTTCTTGAGCAAGGCACTTTATCTGCACTGTTTCTCTCCACGCAGGAGTATAAATGGGTACCTGGTGGTGTTGCCTGCTCCTGAGCTGATTACCAGCAGCAACACTTAACGCATGTGGACCAATGACCAGGGAAAAGAATTACACTTTATAACCTCAAGGAAAAGGCGAATTATAAATGAACGTACCAGTATCAGTACCAGTTCCATCCATCCATTCATCAATCCATCTACCCACACGCCCTTCAACCCATCCATCCATCCGTCATCCATCCATCCGCCTCCTATCCGTCCGTCCAACCATCCACTAAAATTGTATGATGGGAGCTTTTTTCTGATCTTATTGCCTGAAATTTTTTTTCTGTGTCTTTTTTTTTTACAGTATTTAGTCCTCAATGATCGTCATTTTAGGAACTCTTATAATTTTAACTATGATTCTTAATGTCTTTACAACACTGAAAAACGTATTGATTAGATATCGTGTTTTACTAATTTTTTTTATGTATTTTAAATTGTGCTTGGCAATGTGTGTTTCCAAAAAAAATAAAAAACTATTTTTATATACATTTGTATTTTTATGAACAAGTCAATAATAAATCTTGAATCTTTTAAGGATTGAAAATGCTTTAAAATGCTTTAAAAAACCAAACAAAAATTCAGCACTTAAATGATGGTGGAAAAGGAAGTGAAAATAAAATATCTTTTTTTTTAACAATGCCGACTGTAAAATGAATGAATAATCAATGGTTGCAGATATCTTGCCTAATGACCATACATATTTGTAAAGTATTATATGTAATCAATGCAGTGTTTATAAACTACATATCAAACGGATGTATTCCCACGCACTTGACGATTATCATCACAAATGTTTTTCTATCTGCCATATTTCGACAGTAAAATCCATTTCAACTTCAATATTTATTATTTTACCAAATTCAAGACGCTTCTATCGAAACAAGAGAGAATAAACCAGATGATTTGTTATCAAAATTTTCCGAATGTTTCTAAATCTGTCTTGAAAGGGAGAATCGAAGAGAGAGACAAACACGTTTACTTCGAGATTTGACAGATAGGCTCCGTCACTGATCAATAGACAGGCCTGCTGTTTTCCTTTTGTCCAATAACATCAAACTGTTTCAATAAAGGTTATTTTGTATTACGATACATCACTTTTACAACTGGCATGACATGCTAAACAGCCTTACGTACATTATGTGTCATTAGGGTGAATCTTTAAAAAATATATAGAAGGTTTGTGACGTCTGGTGCCGCAAGCTAGATGTAAGTCATACTTTTTAAAAACTATATATATATATATAATATATTATATACTATATTGAACGTGGCAATTAAGTATGCAAAAATTTAAACACAAAATTGCGATTATCACTTAAAGTTTATATTTGTTTCTGAATGATAAGGAACTAGACTAATACTTAAATGCCTACCATCACTGGTTGAATGCGTTTTTGAGCTACCCACCCCTTTTTTATTGTTTTATTGTCCATCGGGGTAGTAATTGATACCGTGCCGGACTAAAAATATTTAACGTACCGTATCAGACACAACCCTTCAACAAAAAAGTTTCTTGTGTAAGAAAAAATGTATCTGGCGGGGTTTGAACCTGCAACCTCTGGCTGTTGAAGAGCTATGCTTTCATTTATAACACCACCTGTTTCTATATTTGAGCACTATATCTATTATTTACATATTTGTTTAAGATATTTGTTATATATATTATATATACATCCATACAACAAATCAAATATAGTATAATGCAACATATCATAGAATGATTTCTGAGTCCAGGATGTCGATTATAATATTTATGACATGATAGTAACTTTGGTATAAAGAAACACCTCTACAAGTGGTAATTAAAGATGTTTGTGAAACACTGTTGTCCCTGTCGGGATTTAAACCCACGATTTTCCGATTATTTTATCCGTTTTGTATTTGCAATTTTATTTGGTTTGCACTCTCCTGAACCTATAGTTAAGGTGCATCACCTCCCACCGTCCATTACAAATAATTAAACGATAATCAAATAAGCTTCAAGCTAACAACAATTTCCAACAAATTGGACCTCCGATATCCTGTTTATTACGCAAACCACTCTTGGCGCTGTCGACAATTTTTTTTGGAATATAATGCGACCAATGAGAGATGTTCAGAAGAAAAGTGTGCACTCAGATAATGCAGACGTATCACATGGTATTTCCATTATCAATTGACCACTTTGGATAGGCAGATATCTCGAAAATATTTACACGGAAATTACTATTTATCGTGAAAAGGTAAATTGTTTCATTTCTTTTATATACTTATACAACAAATGCACTAGAATCACAAAAGTCACCATAAAAAGGGTATAACCGTTAATCATAAAAGGTAAGATGATAACTTTTACTTCTTAATTTAATACGAAAGGTCGGGGGGCTTGATGTGTTTGTGGGTATCATGAAAGGAGCACTTGTTGGTCAGGAGAGAAGTCCCCATGATCTGCATTATGACAGCATGCAGGCAAGAATATTCTGATATTTTATATTTATTTGATGATTTCTTAGAGGGGATGGGAGTTCGTTCGGGGGATATGGGGGGGGGGGTGTCAGCCAAACCATAAAACCCTGTTTACAAACCTGTGTTCATAGTAGAACAGATGGGAGTTCGTTCGGGGTATATGGGGGGGGGGGGTGTCAGCCAAACCATAAAACCCTGTTTACAAACCTGTGTTCATAGTAGAACAAAAATTCATACAATATATGGGGAATTTCCATTGCTTACAAACTGATACTTAAAAACAAAGAAAGGTATCATAAAATATCATATCATGTATCATAGCATATACAGACACAGATTACTTTATTGCCCATTGATTGAATTTACGTTACGATACGATATCAGATAGCATCGTATCATATCATTATATATCATATCATTTATCACATCATGACATTTCATATGCCTATATCATATTATACCATATTATATATTATATGGTCATATGTTACATCACCTATCATCATTCATATATATATATATATATATATATATATATGTATATATATGATATATATGATATATATATATCATCATATAATTTCATATCATCGTATCATATTGTCAAATCACATTACATTATATCATATCATATGATCATATTATATCATAGCATAATTGAAAAGAGATATTGATGGAAATTACGTTACTCAAATCATATCATTATATATCATCATTTATCGTATCATGTCATTTCATAGGCTTATCATATATTATATTATATTGTACCATGTATTATATACCATATATTGTCATATGTTACATCATATCATATCATTTTATGTCTTATCACATCATATCATCGTATCGTATTATATCATTATAGGCCTATTATATATCATATCATAGCATATTATATTATATAATATCATATTACAGTACGGTATGTCAGTAAAAGAATATCCGTTAGTTCATTTGACATTAATAGCACTCTGTAAGGTTTACATAATTATAGCTTCGATCTTCAGGTAATCATAATGGTGATCTGAAATGCATTTTATGGCTGCCTTTCGTTAAACCATAAACATTTATGAGTTGCATTTAACACAGGATTTTTCACACTAAACGGTCCAAACTCACGTTTTGCAAATACTTCTCCGGTCACGTGAATTTCATAATATTTAATGGACTATTTTCATTTCGTTTATGTGACCCGTCTTAGAGATTGAATTAAATTGTCATGCATAA